GGAGGTAGGGGCGGGGACGGCGCGGGGCGAGAGGCTGGGGGCGGGGTGGCCTCCGGCGCCCGGCCGAGCGTCGCCCCTCTGTGCCCCTGTAGTGTCGGTGGTGATGGGTATTCCGAGCGTGCGGCGCGAGGTGCACTCCTACCTGACAGACACGCTGCACTCGCTCATCTCCGAGCTGAGCCCACAGGAGAAGGAGGACTCGGTCATCGTGGTGCTGATTGCCGAGGCGAGTGGGCCAGGCCGCGGGGTGGGGGGGACATTCAGAGGAAGGCCCACTGCGCTAAATAACAAGGAGAAATAAAAACAGAACAACGTTCCAGAGGAAAAAGTCATCAGCTTCCTTCACAAATGTATTAAGCTAGAAAGTTAGAGAAAGAAGTATTTTAGCGCCCCCTCCTGGAGTCGCCGGTTACCTGGTTTGCCCCACCCGTGGCCCTGTGTGTTCCAAAGGGCTTTTCAAACTGAGGCACCTGGGGCCCCCAGGCCCCGCCTCACTGGGCCTCAGGACAGGAGGCTCTCTCCCTTCCATGTGGGATATCTGAAGGCTGCACCCCATCCTCAACCCCCTCTTCCAGGCCATTTGGGGTGACAGCTGGGCTAAGAGAGGGTGCTTGGTCTCCCCACAGACTGACCCACAGTACACTTCGGCAGTGACAGAGAACATCAAGGCCTTGTGAGTACTGGCAGCCAGAGAAAGCTCGTGGAGAGAGGACTCTCTGTAGGGTGTTGAGCAGGCAGGCGCCTGCCTCCCCCACAAGATAGTGCCTTCCTACCGTGCAGGAGGGGCTCCCCTGTTGGCCGAAGGGGGTGGATATGGAGAGGTGGCCTAGCTCCTCTGGAACCCCGCTGCCTCAGAAGGCTGGGTGGTGTGTGTGGTGGGGTGGGGATGTCTGCCTGGTGAGCCTCAAGAAAGAAACAGGGTCTTGTTGACAGCTCCCCCTTTTAGTCCTTGGAGGCAGCACACCCACTGGAACATCCTGTCCTCCAGGTTCCCCACAGAAATCCATTCCGGGCTCCTGGAGGTCATCTCCCCTTCCCCCAACTTCTACCCTGACTTCTCCCGCCTCCGCGAGTCCTTTGGGGACCCCAAGGAGAGAGTCAGGTAGGAGCAACTCTTCCCATGCTCCCAGCAATCTGCCTACCTGTGCTGAGAACCCAGTCTACTGGCATCTGAGCCCAGGGTACTTCCCTGCGGTGTGGCTGATTCCCCATTGGAGGACCCCTGCTTGGGGAGGGGGGCAGATCCTACCCACTCAGTGGCTTCTCTGTGGTAGCCACACTGGAGGTGAAAGCGTCTGAGCTCCTGAGGCCCCTACCCCTGGCCCACAGGTGGAGGACCAAACAGAACCTCGATTATTGCTTCCTCATGATGTACGCGCAGTCCAAAGGCATCTACTATGTGCAGGTCAGCCCTGACGTCCTGCCCTGTCCCTGCCCACCTGGCCCTAGATTGAGCCTGGGTGATAAGCCCTGCCCTGCCCCACACTCCTGCCTGCTCGGGCCAAATCTGGGTGATGGACCCTGCCCTTCCCACATGCCCATCCTGAGTCCCAGCTCCATTCTACCCACTCCTGTGCAGCTGGAGGACGACATCGTAGCCAAGCCCAACTATCTGAGCACTATGAAAAACTTCGCACTCCAGCAGCCCTCAGAGGACTGGATGATCCTGGAGTTTTCCCAGCTGGGCTTCATTGGTGCGCTACCCTCACTCCCACCCCACTGACCTGGCCATGGCCCTTCAGTCCTGCCTACCTCTCTGCCTCTTTGTTATCACCTTGATCCCAGTACCATGCTGTGCCATGCCTGTGAGCCTTTGCCCAGATTGGGTCCTGCCTGGAGTGCCAGAGACAGCACTACCTGGCCTGTCTCCATCGCCCTCTGCATCAGGGAGGTCTGGGTTCACCATCCCTATCTGCCTCTTCATGCCCACACCTGTCTGAAGCCCACCCACCTGCCCAAGGGATTTGCTGCGGGACCTTCCCAGTGGCCCCCACAGGGATGAAGAGGAGGTAGGGTACCCACTGAGAACCCCTTTCCCCCTACTCCCAACCCTCAGGGAAGATGTTCAAGTCGCTGGACCTGAGCCTGATTGTGGAGTTCATTCTCATGTTCTACCGGGACAAGCCCATTGACTGGCTCCTGGACCATATACTATGGGTGAAGGTCTGCAACCCTGAGAAGGACGCGGTGAGCAGGGGCTACACAGAGGTGGCGCATGGGCCACAAGGCACAGCACACATCTGATCACAAGGAGAGGGCGCTGCTGGCTGTGGGAGGCCCCTGGTTGCCCCCAGGTGAGTCCCTGGCCTGGGAGCAGGGGCTGAGCTGAACCCTAGGGTGTCACCCTCCCTCCGCAGAAGCACTGTGACCGGCAGAAAGCCAACCTGCGGATCCGCTTCAAGCCGTCCCTCTTCCAGCACGTGGGCACTCATTCCTCGCTGGCGGGCAAGATCCAGAAACTGAAGGTGGGTTGTGCCACTCACTCATCTGGCCAAGTCTAGGCAGAGCAGGGCTGGGGTAGAGTGAAGGGGTGTAGCCCACCCTAACACCCCTGGCACTCCGTTGCTGCAGGACAAGGACTTTGGGAAGCAGGCGTTGCGGAAGGAGCACGTGAACCCACCAGCCGAGGTGAGCACGAGCCTCAAGACGTACCAGCACTTCACCCTGGAGAAAGCCTACTTGCGTGAGGACTTCTTCTGGGCCTTCACACCTGCTGCAGGGGATTTCATTCGCTTCCGCTTCTTCCAGCCATTGCGCCTTGAGCGGTCAGTGCCAACACAGACAGGTTCACATTGCAGCGGGGGAGGGTGGCCATGGGGGTACAGGCCTCACCACAAATTTCTGGGCCTGCAGTTGTCCCTCCATGACCCCCAGCAAATTACTTATCCTCACCATGCCTGCTTCCTTATCTGAAGAGTGGGACTCATAATGGTAGCTACCTTGCAAGGACTAAGTCAGGCAGTGCCCCTAGGAGCTCAGTGAGAGCTGCCCATCACTACCATTCTGAAGGCCCTGGCTTCCTGGGAGCCCACCTTGTGCACTCCTGGCCCAGGCCTGGCCTCTTCTCTGCCAGCCCTGGGCAGTGTGTCTGGGCAGTGTGCCACCCCTGTAGCAGCTCACAGGCCTGCCTGGCCGTAGGTTCTTCTTCCGCAGTGGGAACATCGAGCACCCAGAGGACAAGCTCTTCAACACGTCTGTGGAGGTGCTGCCCTTTGATGTGAGTGTGGTGGGGTATGGGTGTGCACTGAGGCCTGACCCTCCCATGGCCACCAGCTCCAGTCCCTGGATTTTGCCCCGTAGAACCCTCAGTCGGACAAAGAGGCCCTGCAGGAGGGCCGCTCAGCTACTCTCCGGTACCCTCGGAGCCCTGATGGCTACCTCCAGATAGGTGAGTAGGGGGGTGAGGGGAGAGGAGGGCTGGGTGGAGCAGACAAGCCCTATTTGGGTTGGGGTTTGGGAGACAACCTCTAAGTGCCACCCTCCCCTAGGCTCCTTCTACAAGGGTGTGGCAGAGGGCGAGGTGGACCCTGCTTTTGGCCCCCTGGAAGCACTGCGCCTCTCCATCCAAACAGACTCCCCAGTGTGGGTCATTCTGAGTGAGGTGAGGCAGGGCAGGGTGCAGGGAAGAGCCAGTGAGACCATGGCCTAGCCCTGAGGCCCTGCCTGACCCTGAGTCTCGTTCTTCCAGATCTTCCTGAAAAAGGCCGACTGAGCTGAGGCTTCTGAGAGTGCACTGCAGCCCTGAAGCCCACGTTTCCAGGGATGTCGTAGCTGCTGCCCCTATAGGGCCAGGCGTGGCCACAGCCCGAAGGGTTCTGCCTGGCACTGGGCTGGGGCCGGCCTGGGGTCCGCCGCTGGCCCGGAGGCCCCAGGAGCTGGTGCTGCCCCCGCCCGCCGGGCCACGGGAGGAGGCAGGCGGCCCCCACACTGTGCCTGAGGTTCGGCCCTGGCCGCCCACCTGGAACCATTTGCACCTGGCCGGCCGAGCCAGGCCGTTTTAGAAGAGCTTTTTCCTGGCGCCCACTCTCCCCGGCGCGAACACTGGAATGCATATACTACTTTATGTGCTGTGTTTTTTATTCTTGGATACATTTGATTTTTTCACGTAAGTCCACCTATACTTCTATGAGAGCGTGACTTGTAATAAAGGGTTAATGAAGTGTGTGCTTCAAATGTGAGCGCTGCTGTGCTGGCTAGACACCTCTTGGTCTGCCTCTGCCCTTGCTTTAGGTTTCCCTCCTGTCCCTGGTGCTGCCACGGGTGGGAGGGGGAGGTCCTGATGCCGGGCACCCCGACCCCAAACCACCTGCGACCTCTCCAGCCAAGACTTGCCTTCCGCTTCTGCATGTTCCAGTGCTGCTGCTGCATAGTTCTACAGAACCTTGTCCCCATTTCATGGGAGGGATTGCGCCACCCAGTCAATAACTCATGGGTAGGGCTGGCCCAAAATCCAGGTCCAGGCGCCCAAAGCTGCCCCTGCCCTATAAAGACCCCCTTCGTGGGCATGGGTGCCCTGGCCCCAATTGCCCCCGACGGAGGCCCTCCCTTGGCACTGCAAGGCAAAGGCATCTTCCAACCTCCTTGTTAGCCCTTCTTCGTGGGTCCCAGCTGTCCTTGTCCTGGGTCCCCAAGGCCCTGCTCATCTCTGCTTCCTGGTCTGATGCATTAGGGTCTCCCTCCCACAGACCGTTGCTCTTGCTTGGAAAGCGCCTTTCCTCTGCAGGCTCCACTAAGTCACGTCTTTCTCGGGGATTCTTTGTCTGCTGGTAGGCTTTCTTCCCGGTGTCTGGTCTCCCAAGGCACCTGGACGCTTACTTGAGAGCGCCTATCACGACTACATCCTTCTCTGTACCCACTGCTCTGCTGGCCTTTGCCGGGCTGCCCTGAACACCTGTACTGTTTTAAACACGGGCACCCAGTGCTGAAAAAAAAGAAAAGTCCCTGCGCTCACCTGGGGCGAGACTAACAGGCTCTGGTGTCAATTGTGAAGGTCGGGGGCGGAGGGTCCGTGGAGGGGAAGGCCTCAGAGGAGGCGGACGGATGAACACAGGGAGGGGGAGCCGCGGGGTGAGCCCCCACAAGAAAGGGGTTCCTGGCAGAGGCTGCCCCACGGGCCAGGCCTGGGGGTGTGGCCCCAGAGGCTGAGAGTAGGGCGGGAGAAGACCGGGTCGAGCCCCGCCCCCGGGGGAGGCCCCTTTGCTTTGCGGCCCCGCCCACGCCGCCCCCGGGACGCCCCCCCCAACTGTAGTGGCACGCGGTGGGCCCCTCCAGACTCCGCAGTGCGCGACCCCCTCCGACCCAGAGAACGCAGCCGGAGTCTGGTCACCGGAACTTTAATCACACGGGAAGGCGGAGGCGAGCACCCCTCCCCCGTGCTCTCGGACGCTCCGGCTCTTCTGCCCCAGCTCCGCCGACCCCGTGTCGTTGGTCTCAGGGCCTCCGCAGCAGCCTCGGGAGTCGCGCGAGGAGCGCGGCGCGCAGCGTGGCCGGGAGGAAGTGGACGAGCAGGCCGAGCGCCGCCAGCGCCACCAGCAGCCAGAGCGCGCGCGCGCTCGCGTACAGCGGGGCCAGCCTGCGGGCGGCGCTCA